AGAGAGAGAGAGAGAGTGAGAGACAGTAACACAGTAGGTTTTCTTGGGATACCTCTAAGCTCTAAAACCCATCATGGCTCCTTTATGCTGTAGTCCTGAACAACCCAGGAGCAGACCTAGCCCCTCAGTCCTACAGAGATGGAGGGATTTTTGGATCCTACAGTCAAAAGCCTAAGCCCCCCCCAAAAAAGGCTAAACCCTGCACACCCTAACCTATACCCCCTCATTCCCTTAGGTGTGCACTTTCAGTTCTACAGGGGATCATATTATCCCACAAAGTCAAAAATGTACTCATTCAGCTACTAAGTTCCGCTTCAGTCCAGAGCTAGGCCCAATGAAGGCCTTGAGTCGGCTGTCTCCGACGTAGGGAAACCTCGGAGGGCGGCTCGGCAAACGTTGGAAATGGATTCGAACCACTTTGTACATTTATATGTATATATATATACACATATCTATATATATATATATACATACATACATACATACATACATACATACATACACATATATGTGTATGCATCTGTATTCACATGTGTATGTGTATATATGTATATACACATGCATGCATGCATCTATGTAGGTATCTGCCTCTGTGGTCACACGTACATAAGTGACCGCAGGGGTTTTCGGTAGCCAGGCTTACGTGGAATGGGCTCTTAACCCACGCCTGCCAGAAAAGTTAAGAAAGTGCAGATATGCTGGTGAAAATGACTTTCAGGAACCATGTAGCCTTGAAGCCTAGGGCGTCGCACGTTTTCTCTACACAGCTCCTGAATGTGATTCTCAAAGGCATGTCTGCGCTGTCTTGACTTTTGCTGGCAGCATGGGTTCAAAGCCCAATACTTCCTTCTTTATAATCCTGGCTTCCCCAAACCCGAGCACTGTCTTAACTTTTGCTGGAAGGCGTGGCTTCAAAGCCCGTTTTTCAGACGTTGGCGGCGCCAGAACGAAATCAGCCTTCTACCCCACCCCCACTCCCCACCCCCCTTCCCCAAGTAAACTAAAGTCCGATCCTGGCAGCGCCTAGAATCCACAGCGAAAGCCTCCAAACCGCAAAACCTGCACAAAAGCGCGCGGCCAGTTTCGGACGTGTGTGGATCTATCCACCTATCCATGCATCCATCTGTATGTAGGTATGCATGTATGTACTAATTATGCAGACCCCTAGATTCACGATGTTCAAGCAGGGTCCCTCCATGGTTCCAGAATAACTATAATGAAATGAACTTCTGAAAAAACCTATGGCAGAAAGGGCTTCGCTCCCCGAAGTACTCGCCGTACTCTTACACGCTCAATTCAGCAGTCGCGTCCAACAAAAGGCCTGCAACCTCCAAGTGCCCATTCTGAGCTGCGATGAACAATGGGGTGGTGCCATCGTTCTTGGCCTTGTCAATGTTAGCCGTTGCGTCCAACAAAAGGCGTGCAACCTCCAAGTGCCCCTGCTGAGCTGCGATGAACAATGGGGTGGCGCAACTGTTCGTGGCTTTCTCTTTGTCAACAGTCGCGTCCAATGTCAATGTTAGCCTTTGCGTCCAACAAAAGGCGTGCAGCCTCCAAGTGGCCCTGCTGAGCTGCGATGAACAATGGGGTGGCGCTACTGTTCGTGGCTTTCTCCTTGTCAACAGTCGCGTCCAATAAAAAGGCGTGCAACCTCCAAGTGCTCATTCTGAGCTGCGATGAACAATGGGCTGACGCCGTTGTCATTCACCTTTTCCTTGTCAGCTTTGGCCTCCAACAACAGGCATGCAACCTCCAAGTGGCCGCGTTGGGACGCGATGAGCAATGGGGCTGGATCACTTAAATCCGGGTCCTGTGGCCTTTGCAGAATCGTCTCCACGGCTGATGTCTGGCCACTTCCTGCAGCATCTCGAAGCTCTTCTTCTTGCAGTGCAGATGTCGAGATGAAGTTCACAAGCACGAGCTGAACATCGCCAGGTTTCAAGATGTGCTCGTCGTCCGTATCACTCAACAGGATGTCATCGCCCAAAACCAGCAGCCGTTGCCTGAATCCTGGCTGCCCGCAGAAGTTGTGCAAGCGTTGCTTCAGTGCCCGGACAGGAGAGCTCTCTGCAGTGAGAGTATCAAGAAAGCTCTGCAACTCAATTGTGACGAGGACTTCCCCCGACACTGAGTGAATGCGTAACATCCGTGCCTCGTGGCATGTAAGAGTACCCTAACGGTCCATGTACTCATATAGTATATACATTGGTCTTTGTCTTAATGTAGTCCCTATATAGGTGCGTTGGGGCCAAAGTATATAATATTTGGGTACGCCTAAACGGTTTGAGGGTTCATATACCATATAGGGATTCAGAGTACAAGGGTATAGGGCCCCTACTTTTAGGGGTCATTTCGTCCGTAAGGTAAGAGTATACTCAAGCAGCAACTCTCGTCTCCAAGCAGTCTGCGTGAGCCTTGGCAGACGGACAACCCGTATGCTTGAAGACATGCATGGACTCCATCAGGCTTCTATACTGGCTCTGATTTCGAGCTTAGGGTTTGGGCCCTCGCAAGTCGGACTCGCCGAGGCTGGTTCGGGTCGGAAGGTAAGTACGTTGGCTCAAGCTTGTGAGCTGTGACTACCGGGGCACCCCCTTCTCAAGCATCCAGCCGGAGAGTAGGGTTTACGGGAATCGATTCTACTTATGGTTTCCAGCTTAGGGTCTATAGGGCCTCTAGGGGTGCAGGGAGCTGTGCTCCGCCCCGCAGTGTTTTGGCGGCCAGGGAGCTCGGTCAAGAGCATCTCCTCGCCGTAGTAACTTGCACACCTCAGCTAGAGGGTCTCGGCGCTCACACTCGGAGAATGCAGGCTTTATGGTTGGGCATTGAGGGGGTTTAGGGTTGCGGGTGGATCCTAAAACCCCCGGACCCTAAACCCTGAGCCGGCCCGTGAGGGTCCAGCCATTGCATCAGCAGCAGCGCAAAGCAGGACCAGCCTGTGAGAATCTGGTTTTGTGGGGGCTTTGTTTGAGTGAAATGAGGGTTCGCTTCTTTGGGGTTCAAGCTTGCGAACAATGAACACTCTCAAAATCAGGCTCGCCAGATGAGGTTTGCGGGTCGAAACAAAAGCGAATGCATCACTCGCCCAAGCATTAACTTCAAATCACCAGCCAACTCATCACACAAGGGGCTATTTTGACGAAGTCTGCTATACTTGTAGTGCTTGAAGGCGCCAGGAGTCCATGAGCATTCTTTACACTACCAGAAGGACATATCACCGAAGGTGGAAGAACACGATGTGCTGCTGCGCCATGTTTCACGACCTTGTCCTTCCACGAAGCGACAGAACAGCTGGAGAACTGAGCTGGCTTGAGCCATTATATCCGCTCAGGGCCTAGGGTTCCTGAAACTCCCGCTTTCAACCAGGATCCTAAGGCTCTCAATGCACGGAAGCCTTGCAATTCTGCGACTTTGCTGCCTCACATTTCTCGATTTCCGGTCTTTCGCTCAGCACTATCTGCCGATGAACACCCCTAAACCCTAAACCCTAAACCGAAGCAGCCCAGCAAGGCCTATGCCCTGAAGGAGGACGTGAAGCGAGCCGCCCTGGAAGGGCATCCACAGCCGGTAGGCTGGCTGCCTTTGCCACGGTTTAGGGTTTAGGGGCTGCGAGCTTTTTCAGCACCAAGCGCCTAGCACCATCTAGCCTTTTTGGCCCATGCCAACTACACCGGCTTCGCCAAATCAGAACCTTTGCTCCGAGACATCGGCCTGAAGACAGACTTTACTCCCAGAAATGCCGGTACGCTTGACCCTTGGTCCATCCGTCTGGCTGCAAAGCAGTCGCGGGCAATGAAATCTCCTTCCCATACAACTCTCAAGGCGATCACAAGGGCCTCAATAACTAATGATGAATTAGAACAGGTTTTGCGGGGTATAGTATACTATAGCTATGATTATGCACCCACCAAAATAGTGGTACGACTTTTCGAGCTTCTACATCAGCTGGTAGAGCTCTTGAACGCGGTGCATGCCAAGGCACGTTACGAAGCCACAAACGTGTGTAGCAGGCGAGGAGACAAAGAAGCCGAACTGGCAAAGACCTGAACATGCCAACCCTGGTGTCAGTAAGCAAAACTCAATTGTCGTGAACTGGCCGGCAGGTCTGCTATTTTTTTCAATTTGAGGCCGACGGAAAAGATGTAGGCACAGGTGGACTTCTCTTGCATTGCTCAGCGACCGATTGGCCTGGCAGTGCTACAGATAAGCTGTCAAGCACCAGTTTTAAGTCTTTAAGTAAGCAGTTTTTGCGCTAGTGGTTGTGCACAACCAGACGCAAAAACGGTTCAAGACGATGAGGAAGCGGATCGAAGCGGTTCCCCTTCGGCGCATGTGAATGCCATCAGCGAATCTCTGGGAAGCTTCTGGACTCAGCTTGCACAGATGTGCTCCAACAACCCGGCGTTTTGAGTGCTGCTGGTGATGGTGATACTGACGAGCAGGAAACGGATAAACCACATTCTCACGAGACAACACGCCGACGCACACGATGTAGGTGCTCATGATCGCGCTGGCTTTGTTCGTGATGACGAGAAAGAGGATGGTGATAAGGATGGTATTGACATACTGACGCTGCGCCGTTTACGAATCATGCTTCCGCCGATGATGACTGTGTTGTGACTGTACATAGCGGTACACCTCAGATGTAGGCGTTCCGTCGGCCTGCCATTTTTTGCGGGTTTTTCCGCCACGGTTTGATTCTCGGGATCGCCTTTTGCTGTCTTGTTCGTTGATACTTGTATCAAAATCATCTTAACCATGTCAAAAGGCAGGCGCAACAGTAGAGGCTAAGCTGCTTCGATGCCATAGGAGGAGGGATCGGTCCGTTGCACTGCAGCTAGGACCCAGAGAGCCCAATGCCCCGTAATTTAGGAATATGCCTTGAATTATAGGGGCCTTAATATTATGATTTTAAGGTCTATATTCCTTAATTAAGGGGTATTGGGCTCTCTGGTAAGTACTTGCGGGGAAGAAGCTCACCGGAGGCCGACAGTTCTCTAACCCGGCATCAAAGCCGCGTTAAAATTCAGGAGCGATGCCGTGACTAATTATTGTTGAGGCTCCTTGATTACAACACAGAAACGGGGTCGATGCAAAACCACCCTGGATTTGCCACCAAGCTGCTGCACAGGCTCCAGGATGTGGAGCATGCAACCTTACTGCTGGCAGATTCAGGGGCCTTTGCATTTGGGCCTGCAGTGCTGTCCTCAAGCTCGGTTGACATGCCAGAAGCCGTCAAGGACACATCAGTGGCAGGATGTCAATGCTCAGCAAACGATGGAGCTCTGCTCATTTGTTCAAAGCTTCGGGTCAATAGGGATCAAACTGATTACAGACGAGACGAGGAGACGATGCCCACCGATACATCAGCATTCGACATCCCCTAAACCCTAAAAAGACTTTGCACAGTTCTTGCAGCTGAAAGGCAGAAAGGCTCAAGCCACCGCAAAGCATCACCAAAACCTGAGCTGTCAAGTACCGGTTTTTGCCACCCACAGCAAGGCACCCGCTGGTGCAGTAGCAAGATGGCTTGGCCTAAGAGATATGGGGGTTTCCGAGAGGACCCCAAAATAAGATACCCTAAGTTTCGGAAAGTCCCATATAGGCTCGGCAATTTGGTGCGCAAAGGTGCCCTTAACTCAACAGTTACTAGTTGCCACTGCTGCGAAACCCACGAGGTGCCACTCTTCCAGACGGTTTTGCGAAGTTGGCTTCGCTCGAACTGTACAGGAATGACATCCATTGCAATACGATTGTAGAAGTGCCCGTGGTAGCGACCAGTGATGGTGCTGCAGACGATGCCGGCTTGCAGGTCAACGGGTAGTCGCAGGTATTGCTACGAGCAAGCTACTGCACACAAAAGAGATGCAAACATGCATTATCCGCCATCGTTCTTGGGTGATGATGATGGCTAATCCTGAGTTTTACAATACTGCCATTATACCTCCGGAAACCCTAAAACTGCTCTTCTCGTGATTTGCTACTGCTTCCCCAGAGAAGCCAATACCCCTCAAATTAAGGAATATCCCTTAAATTATAGGGGCCTTAACATTATGGTTTAAGGTAGATTCCCTAATATTAAGGGGTATTGGGCTCTCCGGGTCTGACCTTCGAATGCAGCCCAAAAAAGGACCTTTTGAAATATATTAGGTTTATATAAGCCCCAAAAGGTTAAAGGTTACCTACTCAGCCCCTCACCCAAAAGCCCTAAAATCCTGTCAACCCTACTAAACCCTATAAACCCTAACCCTACTCAGCCCCTAAGTCTGACCTTCCACCCTGGAACCCTAAACCCCAAAAGCCCTAAACCCCTAAAAGCCCTAAAACAAGCCAAGGAAAAAACCCTAAACCCTAAAAATCCTAAACCCCAAGAAGCCCTTAAAACAAGCCAAGGAAAAAAGCCAGGAAGCAAAACAATCCGAAAGCCCCAGAAACCGCGGCTCGAGGCTCGAAGCTGCCCCAGGGTTTAAGGGTTTTTGTTTGGGCCTTTTGGGGCTTAGGGTTTAGGGTTTTTTTTAGGGCTTTTTGTCCCTCCCACTTAGCAAGGACGAGCCCGCATTGCAGGGTAAGGTTCAGAACAGAGGGCTTAGGGTTTAGGGTTTTTGCTTTTTTTGGGTTTGTTCCCTCTCGCATTGCAGAGAACTATGCTCACGGCCAGGTTTGCTTTGCAAAGAACACAGGCGGCCTATACCAGATCAGATCAGAACGAAACACGGATACTGTGCGACATGGGTGGTGCTTCCTTGAAAAATCAGCTCCCGCGTACCACAACCCTAAGAAGACTTATGCATACGGTTTAGAGTTTGGGGGTTTAGAGTTTAGGGTTCGTTGCATTGGAAGAATTAGCACCATTTCTACTATTACTATTACCGTAAGCATGATTTTTGTATTATCATTAATTCTATTGTTATGATTACGAATGATACGGTCATGATCCTTGTCATTATTATTAGCATTATTGTCAAATTATTGTTACCGAGGCCCCGACCATTGTACAAAGGGAGATAACCACGGGCCCTGCCACGAGGGTCAACCTCAGCGGGCCGTAGGCACTGGCGCGCTCTAGGTACTGTCGGATATGGGGGTGTGTATATATATATATACATATATAAATACATATATACAAAAAAGTAATGTACCATGCAAAATATACACATATAACTATATACATACATGTATATGCATATATACATGCATACCTGTGGAGTCTGATACAAACTACAAAAAAGCTGAAGCCGGCTGAAGGGCTGCGAGTCTGACTTCTGAGATCCGCAAGATGGCGCTCCAGCTGAGGACCCACGCGTGCCAGGCCGCTTGTTGTGCGAGTGTGTCTGCCTGCAATATAGTATAATATAGTAATAAGTATAATATAGTATAATAGTAATTATCTGCAGGCACGGCATCGTAGTGGCTTCGCTAGAAAACTTTAGCGACTCGAGACGCCCCGAGCTGAAACGGTATATAGGTGGAGGCGGCTTGGTGCCAGGGACGAAGCTCTTTTTGAACAAGAGCTGCAGTGCACATTGCCCTGATCCATCAGCTGCTGCAGTGTTTGCAACCACTGACTTGAAAATACTTGCGGCAAGACCTCTAAGTTGTCGGAATTACCCCTTCGGGAATCTGGAAGCTACGCAGGCAATCCTGAGAAAGACTTGCTTGGCAAACCGCCGGAGATGCCAAAACTTGTACCATGTCTGCAAGGGTTCAGGCGGGTTTATGCTCACAATCCGGACTTGCCAGATGAGGTCTCAGGGTGCCGCCTGCTACAACACTAGGTTGCGTGTGTGACCCGCAGTCGACAACAGACCACACCCTCAATGTCTGCCAGAAGGCGTGGAGTATCACACGTCACGTCGTGTTGGGCTTTGCAGCCCGCAGTCTGGGGGATCCACAAGTGTCCCTGGCCTACAGAAGGAATGCCGCCGCCAGTGGGCAGCAGCTTGCAGGTTGCTATCGCTGCTGCCGCTGGGCTACTTGCAGCGGTCGCAGGATCACGATAATCGTGATCCTGCGACCGCTGCCAGCGGCAGGTCAGCAGGCTGGGGCAAAGGAGCTTGGAGATCTGACCAGGCTGCATGTCAGGCTGTATAGCCACGCAAATGCACGGAAGACGGCTTCAACACCATCCATCGACAGTCCCAGTAGTGAAGACTCCGGTTCACATTCTTTAGAGAGGGCAAGCGACGAGGTCGGTCCCCGCCTGTGCGCCTATGTCACAACAGCGGCTGGGAGGTGGTGCGGGCTGCGGCGCGCAAACACGTGCAAGTGCAAGCTGCGTGTGTAATTCCGCAACAAGGACGACGTGCCCTGGCCAGGCAGCCAGGACATGCGCTGGATGGACGCCTGTGGCTCTTCCGCGTGAGATGAGAGGGGCCAACCGTGTGCTCAGCAGTGACGGTAACCTTTTGCTCACTGGGCTGGAATTCTCCTGACTCATTGCTCCAGCCTCGCGAAGGCCTTCAAGGAAATTGCGAGCACGTTTCAGGTCTGCGTGTCGTGCCGCGTCCTTCCCTGGCAAGCAGCACGGCGGTGAATTCCGAGGAGGTCGGGCGACACCGAGAGCCACGCACAAGGCCTCACGGAACTCGCTGCAATATTTGGAAGCGTCCCATGTTGAATCGAAGCGATGCAAGAGTATCTTCACCTCATCGTCCGGTGAAGAAGTGGTCCCCAAGGTCACAGACTCCCTGTACAAAGGGGTTGCACAGCCTCGAGGGCAGCATTCGAAAATGCCGTTGCTTGAAAACCTCCACTCGCGACCGTGCACCTCCACTCCTGTGTGATAGATGCCCAAAATGCCCTTGAGAAAAAAGTGTTCAAGCCACGAGCTAGTCGGTGAAGATTGTAGATGTGCAGGTCACAGTGTAGTGCTGCCAATCTGGAGGCCCAGCCAACCGAGCGAAGCAGGAGAGCGCCTCCTGCAAGCCTCGCGTCCGCTCCATGATCGGCGCCCAGGGGTGTCCAAGGAAAGGGTAGGGTACATGAGGACTTCCACTAGGGATTGGTGATCGGCAGAGTGTAAAGTGTAGCCAGGTAAACCTTCCGGTGAAATCCTGCAACAGGCCCAATAAGCCGCTCGCTTCCTGCCTAGCCTCGAAAGGGTTTTAGCGGCACGGCAACTGCACCATCGACCCGACATAACATGGACCCTTCAACGACTGACTCGTTCCGATGGTTCCTTATTCGTGATACGAAGACTTGCTGTCCAACTTTCTCTCTTTTCACTCTCTGACGCTCCTCCAACCTCACGGTAACAAAGTGCCGACATCCTCCCCTGAGATCGCCTGGGGCGGTTCTGCTTTTGAGCTGCCGCCACCATGGCCACCGCCTCCTGGATGGAGAAGGGATCATAGGGGGGGCGGACTTTGGAGCTTTGGAGCTCATGGCTGTGACCTGTAACTCTCGTTGGACAGCCTCAGTGGTGTAGAGGTGGCTGTAGCCAAACGTCTCTCGGAAAAGAGCGTTGTCAAACCTCAGCTGGCATCTGCTCTGACAAGCTCAGCCCTGGAGTGCAGGTGTGTCGATGTCTCGGGGCCGAGACCTGGGATTCTGCCACTGCCCTGAGACACCTCGACACCTCAACTATACTACGCTGCCGGCTTGCCAAGGCTTTGTATCTGAAAGCCAGAGGAACCACTTGGGCCGCTCTAAACCCCTAAACTGGTCGAACGTCTCAAATGACTCGAATCCTCGGAGTACCCCAGACTTTGTGGGTTCACTGCCAAGGAGCCACTGATCGATGAGGCCTTTCTTGGCCATGGAGTATCTGGGCCCAGAACCGACTAAAGTCGCATAGAAGGAGCACAATCATGCAGTGTGGCGGCTGAGGGTTTGATTATCATTAATTAAGCTCTCCTCTGCTCCTTCTTGCAGGCATGAGGGTCTGTCTGTCTTTGCCGCTTCTTCCTCCTTTGCCAAAGCTAAGACAACGAGAATCGTCTTACACTCTCATTCTCACACTGTTACGCTTCCCTCCTTTCCTCCGGTCCGTCCCTGATGTTGGCTGCCCCCTCGCGACTCGCTAAGTGAATGCTGCAGTAGATGCAAGAAGTTGTCGCTGAAAGGGGCGCCGTTCATGAATCGTGGCTACAACATGGAACATGTGCGGAAGCGTCATTGTGGGCGCGGGCTACCAGCGACAGAAGCACGGCAGTCTTTTGGGCCCGCGGCGTGGTGAAGTATGACTTCGGCTCGACGACCCGCCCTGTGCAAAGCCGTCGCTGTCCGACTCCCAGCCCAGACAGTTTCCCTGCAGCTAGCGTGCCCCGCCTGCAGGCTGATTGAGTGGCCAGCTGGGCAGCTGGAACTGGAAGGAAACCAGGAAGTTCATGACCTTAAACCCCCGGTTCCGCGAAGCTTTTTACGGAAGATTATTGAGGTCTTCAGTGCTGGAGGCCAGGTTTGAAAACTGAGGGTCCGGCTGCCAGCCACGTATGGATCACCCAAGTCGGGGCCTCATGATGCTGGCAAGGGCACTCCTTGAAGCTACCTAACCATAAGCGGTCCTGGCTTGCTCTGAAGCCCTAAACAGGCCCTAAAACCTATAAACCCTATACCCTAAACAGCTAGATGCACGTGCTTCGCTTGGCGATCATCGTGTCATAGCGGCTCATTGGACTTGGGGCAGGTATGGGGTGCAAGCTCGAGAGCCTAAACCCAATACCCCTTATAGCAAACCCCAAAAAGTTGGAAACCGGATTAAGGACACTTAGTGCTGGATTCCCTATACATTACTCTTAAGGATTGAGGCTGTTGGGTTTCCAACTTTTGGGCTTCTACTGTAATTAAGGAACATACCTTAAATTCTAGGCCCGAAATTAATATTATGATCTAAGGTACATCTTCCTTAACTTAAACGTCTAGGGCCTTAACTAATATTATGATCTAAGGTACCTATTCCCTGAACTCAGAGGTATGGGGTTCTCTGGGTCTGACTACGTCGAGTTCAGGGTTCAGATCCCTGGAGGTTCAGGGCTCCAGCCTGGTTCGGATCCCTATAAAACCCTTTTTCCCCTAAACCCCCGAAGCCCGAAACCCTAAATACCCTAAAGCCCTAATCCCCTAGACCCCTAAAGCCCTAAACCCCTAAAGCCCTGAAGCCCTAAAACCCTAAAGCCTAAACCCTCACAGGGGAACAAAGGGAACTTTGACTCGATGCCTTCAGAACCCACCAGCCCCCCGCATGTGGAGGTTAGGCCCTACGAACCCTAAACCCTAAACCAATACAACCAACCTGTTTAAGGACTCTTATATATATATATGTGTATATATATATATAAAGAAAGAGATCATAATAAGGAACCCCAAATTTAAGGACTTATATAGAAATCATAGTAAGGAACCCAACATTTAAGGCCTTATATAAAGAAATCATAAAAAGGAGCCCTAAACAAGGGTAGGTTCTTTAGGGTCCAAGTAAACCCTAAACCCTCTCACACACCGAAGCTGGGCTGGCCGAGGAGTTTCGGGGTTTTGATCTCAGCGCCGAGTAAGCAAAACCATCGGAACCCTCGGAGGAACTCTTAAAGTCTTATAAGTTTAGGGTTTAGGGTTTGGGGTTTAGGCTTATAGTAACCCTAACACCCTGAAGACCTGTAGAACCCTAAACACCTAAAGCAGCAAAACCCTAGAGAACATTTCATGATAGGGATCTCCGTGTAAAGACCGATCTGATTGACTTTCTCCATGTCGACCACAAGAAGACCTGAAAACGGATGTTTTTCAATCACCTCTTTTCCGTCCCGCACCTGGTCTGGAATACCATTCTGGTTGAGGTAGTGTCTAGGAGGACGGACAAACAACGGGATTCAACCACCGATACCACTGCACGGAGCCTTCCCCCTCCTCGACACAGGACGCAGCTCAACAAGCTACGAGATCTCAGAGGCACCCTGACCTGCCCAAGCAACACAGACACAAGGAAAAGGACATCTGTACCCTTAGGCCAGGATGCAGACACAACACGGAGCTCGGCTCTACGTGCTCAGCTCCCAAAGGCTCTCTCACACAACACATGCACTAGTGACAACCCAAGAGGTAAACACGCCCAGCTCTTTGGGAGGTAACTGTCAGACTACTTTGAAATGACCCTGCTTTAAGGCTTTAAGGTTTGGAGTTTCAGGGGTTTAGCGTTTAGGGCCAAGGTTTAGTGTCATTGTTAGATCACATAACGAAGTCTCAGCAGTTTGACTGAGGCTCGGGTCTGTGGCAGCCAATGAGAACAGACCTTGGAATGCAATATATTCGCTTCACTTGATCCATAGCAGCAAGAAGAATCACATTGACTTGTGTTTAGCATTGAGCTTATGCTAACTACAATGAAATGAACTTCTGAAAAATATGGCAGAAAGGGCTTCGCTCCCCAAAGTACTCGTCGTACTCTTACACGCTCAATTCAGCAGTCGCGTCCAACAAAAGGCGTGCAACCTCCAAGTGCCCATCCTGAGCTGCGATGAACAATGGGGTGGTGCCGTCGTTCTTGGCCTTGTCAACGTTAGCCTTTGCGTCCAGCAAAAGGCGTGCAACCTCCAAGTGCCCACGCTCAGCTGCGATGTACAATGGGGTATCGCCACTGTTCGTGGCTTTCTCCTTGTCAACAGTCGTGTCCAACAAAAGGCGTGCAACCTCCAAGTGCCCACGCTCAGCTGCGATGTACAATGGGGTATCGCCACTGTTCGTGGCTTTCTCCTTGTCAGCTTTGGCCTCCAACAACAGGCGTGCAATCTCCAAGTGGCCGCAGCGGGACACGATGGACAATGGGGTGGTGCCATCGTTCGTTCCCTTGTCCATGTCAACAGTCGCGTCCAACAAAAGGCGTGCAACCTCCAAGTGCCCACAATAAGCTGCGATGAACAATGGGGTGGTGCCGTCGTTCTTGGCCTTGTCAATGTTAGCCTGTTAGCCTTCGCGTCCAACAAAAAGCGTGCAACCTCCATGTCGTTGTGATGAGCTGCGATGAACAATGGGGTGGCGCCACGGTTCATGGCGGTGTCCACGTCAGCAGTTGCGTCCAACAAAAGGCGTGCAACCTCCAAGTGCCCATTCTGAGCTGCGATGAAAAATGGGGTCCTGGTGCCGTCGTCCTTGTCAATGTTAGCCTTTGCGTCCAACAAAAGGCGTGCAACCTCCAATTTCCCCTGCTGAGCTGCGATGAACAATGGGGTGGCGCCACTATTCTCGGCCTTGTTCATGTTAGCCTTTGTGTCCAACAAAAGGCGTGCAACCTCCCAGTGCCCATTCTGAGCTGCGATGTACAATGGGGTAGCGCCACTGTTCGTGGCCTTGTCCTTGTC